TTTTTATCTTTGAGGACTTACATGAGTCACTCGTACTAATTCGACCGTCCCCTGTCCATCGTAGGGAATTTGGACGTGGGTTACACGAACTGATTTCGACATCCCTTCCATCGTGTGGGGGACTTTTAATTTCAGGTGATATGGACAAGGGACTGTCCATCTTGTGGACGTAGACGTGAGTTACCCCAATTGCTTCCGCCATCCTTTTCATCTTCGGGGACTTAACGAGAATTACACCAACAGATTCCGCTATTTCCTAGTATCTTGGGGAACAGACTGCAGGGTGGTATCTCACCGTTATGTTGATCAACAATATCATCATCATCAGATAGGTTGTGAGATTCTTTGCTGTACTGTTTCGACTACAAATCACACACGCAACCAAATACTGTTGTAACTCGAGAAAATACATTTAGAAAAAAAAACATGATATATGATTTCTCGTTTATGAATGGATAATTAAGTATTATGTTTGAGACGGAAAAGGGGAACGAACATGTTAAATTAAATACTGGGACACGTAAATCAACCATCTTTTATAAATCTATTTTTCCAGATTATAATAATTAATTATATATAATAAATTATCCGTCCTAGCTTTAGACAAGCTTAACAGCTAGTTACAACTTATGCACCGTGCTACGCCAGAGCCAAGAGTGTCCCCATGCTCCGCAGCGCGCTGCTTTTATACCATTTGCATAACAACTCCTGCACGTGTTGTTTACAGTTTTATGCGCCATAAGAGGAAGCGCACAATGGCGCCACCGTCATATGAAATTTAAAATAATCATATTATTCGCAATAAGTTCCATTTAGTATTTATTTTTTTAATTTTCAAATTGTATTTTGTCAGCTCAACAATTTTGAGTTCCGACAATATTCAGTTTCTTGTGCGATATATTTATAACGTTGGCCTTTTCAAAGCGAGAGTGAGCAGTCGCCTGCGCTTCGTCCTCCACCTCATCATTGACTATCAAATGAGATCGTGTAGTTCCATAAGGAAACTCGAAGAATAATGATTTTTGACTTACGACACTATTAAACCTGATGTGCGATATGTACTTTCTGTTTCGCCGTACCATTTTTGTGCGTTGATCTTCTTGTTTTGATGCTCTGTTCCAGAAACGCAAAATGCCAAACGGGCAGAATGCCAGATTCTCAAAATGAAAAACAGGTCTCCCAACTCTTGACGCGCAAACTAATGTCCAGTAGTGGACGTCATTCTGAAATATAGAAGCGAGGTTCTGAAGTTCTATTTATTTATTATAAACAAAATGTAGTGACCTGAATCTGGCATTTTTTATTATTTTATTTGTATTTCATTATGTGAACGTTTACATTACAAATACTATGTACAGTCGCCTTCATTAATATGAATAACAAGTAATAAAATGATAATCATATTATCCTTTACACATAATGACTTTAATGCCCCGAATACTTGATCCGCTCCTGTGGCATACAATGTTTCTCATCACACTTGCGAGGAAGTTAAAAAACGTTTTCAATTTATGTATGCCATGTATAAAAAAAAATTAAAAGAAAGCCGATTGGATTTACATTTTAATAAATAAAATCATAACGTGACCGTAGTGGCCGAACTGATTATTTGACCACGCTCCTAGTGGGCAACGGAAGCGTCGAAATAAAATTAAAAATGTTTTTTAATTTTATATTATCACATGATGGTAGTAAAGAATGAGTCCGTGGTTGGTAGACGACTAACAAACAGTATTATAATAATAATAATTTATTTTCTCCACAAACATGATAGTTGTATTAGAATTTAGAAATAACACACACAGTCAGATATATTAACGTTATGTTTGCAAGAGACTGATGCCTAAACTAAGCCGAAGCTTTTAATATAGGTAACCAGGCCCCTCACCTCGGACAACAATTCTTCCTTCTTCGTATTGTAGTTGGAAAACTTTGATATATGGTTTTTGCGTGGCTTATTCCAGCGTGACCACGGTCGAGTTTTGGAAATATAACTTACGGCGGACCGACTGGATCTAGTTATTGGCGACTACAACGGACTAAATAAAGACTTTTTTCTGGCTAGTCAAATTTCAAAAACTCGACCATAGTCACGCTGGAACAAGACACGCTGCTTCTTTATGGCGTCTTACACTCTTTCATGACTTTGCTTGCACCAATACGTGCCCGAGTTTCGGATGAGGGTGTCACATTTTCACCTCTGGTAATGGTTATACCGCCCTAGGGCCGTATGATAATTATACCGCTTAGTTTTGCCGTACGTTTGCTACTTACGATTTTTCACATAATGACAAACGGTTTCAAACTCGATTTATACTTACATATGCAGGCAGTTGTGAATATAGTCACAAATATAACTACCATTGTGAGGTGCATAGTTATAAATATACAAGGTGCTAACAAATTAGGTAGGGATCATTTTACTTTCACTCTTGTAACCATAGCACAATGAACTTATTGTTAATTGTGTAACGTAATTTAGATACGAGCTAAAAAACAAGCGGCGCGTTTTTCGGAGAAATTAAATCAGAAATGACATCAGCTTATGGAATTTCCGTACAGCTACCGGATCGTACGAATGTTATGTACAATTTCGTTATTAAAATTCTCAATGGTGAGCAAATGTGAACTTAACTCTGAAAGAGATCTTCTCCAGTCCGCCCACACAAGGCAATCAGAGCAACGGTCATAACAGTCGAGCAACAGCGTGCAAGAGAGAGAGAAAGAGAGATTGAACTAACAAATATACATAGAAAATGAACTATTTTTCCGGATTTAAATCGCGTATATTTGTTTTTTCAAACAAACCGACGTTTCGGGCCCTTTACAGGTCCCATGGTCACGGTTGACTGTCAACTGTCAACTGTTGACTGTCAACCGTGACCATGGGACCTGTAGTTTCATTTCCTATGTGTAACAATGGCGAAAACCTAAGCACTCGATAACAAATATACATTTTTTATGATACCAGTGACACGTCTGGTGTTAAGCAGTTGCAGTATCGCTCGGAGCTTTAAATCGCAAAAATCTGAGTGGCACTGCCATGTGCCTGTAAATTCACCTACACCCTTATTACCCTTCAAAATCAGAACGCAGTAATGCTTATATTCACTCCTTGGCGGCAAAAATAGGTAACCTTGGACCAACTTTTTCACATGGAACTCTATAGCTACTAAAACTTGCTTAAGTATTATAAATACATAGAATATAATATTTATTACGATCTAACTTCAAAGTTATTATAATGAGTACTTTGTTTGTAAGTAATTTGTGAGCACCATGTATAAATAGAATAAGTCAAAAAACATTAAAAATGTACAAACAACAGAAAACGCCTTTGACTATTAACGGCCTAGATCTATTTATAATTAAGTCGTTACTTTAATACTATACAACGACAATAAAGTTATTCATTTAAATCAAAATACTGTTCTCCTTGTCATATACAATGCCATATGAGATATTGGCATTTAAAGTTCTTTTTTTTCTTTGAACAATTAAAATTATGCTGATTTTGGTTAAGCACTCTTAACCAAAATCAGCAACAACCTCAAATGGCTTTGGTTAATATATATATTTAAACTGATTACTATACGGTGTGAAAACATATTCCTAAAAGTTTTCACGATTGAAAAAAAAACAGACTTGAAATTTTACAAGAAAACCGCCGTATTCAATAGGTCCTTTACATATACAAATGATTTTTTTTTTACATCAACTGAACTAATAAAACATGTATAGTATACGATATACAGTTTTTCAAATTGCTTTAAATTCGTTTGTAAAAAATAAATTCTGAAATAATGCCAGTGTCCCTGCTGCTCGGCCCAAGCAAAATGAACCGTATTAGTACGTAACTTAAGTAAAATTTTAATTTGAGTTGAGGTGATAAAACAGAAACTAAAGAAGGTATAAAAAAACCGCTTATAGGGATTATTATTATTATTACATTTATTATGTTAATATAATAACTCTAACTAAAAATGTCGATTGCGTTAGTTATAACAGGGCCGGTAGAATAGTCCTATATCGCGTGTATTTAAGAGGGAGCATGCCAAAAAAGTTTTGACGTTAGCTCCGCCCACATTTGTGAGACAAATATATGCCTGAAGTTCGCGTGACATGCGACAGGAGATGTTGAATTTTGCGCATTAAAAGTACCAAATTCGTTTTAGCGGAATAACTCTAAAACTAAAGGGATTAAAAAAAATCCGTAGTGACAGTTGTCGATCATGCATAAATATAATTAATTATTTAATTTTTGTCCTAATAACCTGCATTTCGAGGATGAATCGAAAAAATGTGAAAATTAGAGGTCATTTCGTGATTTTTATCGATCGAGGAAACTTTATTGTTTTATGTTTCTGATTAGTGTCTATGCTTGAATATATCGTGTAGTTACTCATACAATATTTTATTTTTAACTTTAATTCTAAAATCAAATCGAAGATTAGGAATTTTCCCTCTGCTCCCTCTT